AAAAGGGAGTCTCTTAGATTGTGAGTTCAGTTAATTACTGAATTCTGCGGGATTTACTCAACTGGCTTCTTCTGTGCAGTGGAATCTATCGTACCTTCTGTTAATGTGCATAATAGAGACGCTCCAATGCTACAAAAAAGAGTATGACTCAAAGCGATCAATTTTCACGCTGTATTGTTAATTCAGTGGGCTGTATTTTGAGGAAATCTGAGGATGTTTTATCCTTGATGGACTTAATTGCTTTATATTAACAACAATAAAAAAAAAGATGCAGGAATTCTGGCAATCTTTCAGGATACAGTCTTTGGCCTTCTGTTGTAATATATTATGGTAATTATAGTTCCAGTGGTATTTAGTTCACGCTCTCTCCTCTTCCCTCCCCTGCACCTTTTTTTTTTGCCTCTGAAATGAAGAAGAACAGAAGACAGGCTTTGCAAACCAAAGTCATAATGTGATTACAGCATGTACTATGAAGACAGAGTATCAAGGCTCTTGAAAGTCAAGGCTCTTGGCCTATGTTAGCCAAACCAATTACATTATTAAATGAACTATATTAGGAGCAAACTAATTCCTAACAATGGCATAAATCCAATATGGATATGGATGGTATAATTGCCATTTCTGATTCAGAAAAGGCAGAAGTTTTCAGTAAGTTTTATTGGAAAGGAGCTGGATGATGTATACATACCTAAGAATGATAAGAAAATGTTTTCTATGCCATCAGCAACCAGAAAAAAGGGCACTTGGTGCCTGAAAGCTTGCCTAGCATACATCCCAACTACATGGTTGGTCTAATAAAAGATATCGCCAAAAAGTCCTTCTTTCTTGTGTATTTGGACCATCACAGCTACAGCACTTCAACCCTAACAGTGTCCAGGGTAGAAATGAACAGCAAGTAATGAAGCTAAACATTTTTAAATTAGCTGCCATTGATAACTTGCACCCAAGAGTATTAAAAGAATTTGCTGAGTTCCCTGAGCAACTGATGTTCATTTATAATAAACATTGGAATATTAGAGAAATTTCAGAGAATTAGAAAAAAAGAAATTTGTGCTAGTATTTCAAAAGGGTATGATATGATTAATTGGACAGAGTGTCAGGTAAAATCATGCAAAGACTGAAATGGGATATGATCAGTAAAGAACTACAGGATGGTAGCATTATTAATGCAAATCAGCATGGCTGTATGCAAAATATAACTTGTCAAACAAACGTGGGGCTTTTAGTGATACCATAATGAACTTCCGTATGACATTTGACTTAGTTGGGCATGGCATTCTGATAAAACAGTGTTAAATAAAATCAGTGTAGGCCATGTTGAATTGATTAAAATCTATTTATCTGATAGATCTTAAAAGGTATATTGTTCATGGGAAATAATCTCATGTGGGTATTTCTAGCAGGATCCCAGATTATCCCAGTTGATAAAGAACTGAATTAAGAAGCCCCATCTTTTTTGCTTATTCAAGAGGAGATGACTTCATTACAGTTTACGAACTCCTATTGTGGAATATATTTTTGATAGGAGAAGGCTTTTCAGCAAAAGAAACATAACTGATAAAGTGGTGGAAGCTAAAGGCACGGATTCAGGCTAGGTAGAAATAAAACAAACATTTCCAGTAGTGAGGAAAAAGCTATTGGCGTAATGTCTATAGGGACAAGGTGGATTTTCACATAACTGGAAGGCTTTGAATCAGGACTTGGATATCTTCTGAAAAGATGCTATAGCTCAAACAAAAACTATAGGGTTGATGCTGGAATTACCGTGGGATGTTCTGTGAGCTGTATTTTATAGGAGATCAGCCACTCTGACCTTGACATCTGTGAATCTGTCGCCCTACAGGTTACTTTGCCTGTCATACTATGAAGGATAGGAGAATAAATTCTCCTTTCGGGTTTTCAGTCTTTTTGGTAGCAGAATGGTTTTGATCTATTTGAACAAGGAAAGATTTCAATATTATTAATTAAAATCCAGTTCTACATCTTGGATCCTTTAGCAATAACATCAGAACATGTGGTTTTAAAACAGAGCTCTCCCATCATTAAACAGACATTAAAATAATATCTTTATTTGCTGCATTAGCACAAATATACTTCCAAAAAATTGGTTCAGCATTGCCTGAATCTCAATCTTTCTGCTAAAATGGTTATTAATATTCTAAGCACCAGCAAAATGGTTCATAAACTAGTGACTGTTTTGCATCTGTGGAACAAACTGGCCAACTTCAGTAAGTGGAGAACTTGCTCGGTGTTGTACTGATCTTCAGTTTTCTGTATCCAAGACCTCCAGAGTGTAGTTAATTTTATGTCCATTGGACATCACTTGGATCCTATCACTCATTTTTTCTAGTAAACCTTAAAAGAGTGTTCCCAGTAAAAGGAGCTACCGTATGTGTAAGGATTTCAATACTAGAGTTATACAAATAAATCACAATGAGCAAATTTGAGAAAAGGTGCTATTTTAATGCACATTTAACAAGTCCAGTTCTTACGATTACTGAAAAATCATAACTTTTCTTTTTCTTTAGCTCTGTGCTTGGTTAACTTTTCTTTTTTCTTACTGTATTTTTTTAATCCTGAAACTCTTTTACCATCTTATTTAAACTGTAAGCTTTTTAGGGAAGGCACTGTCTTGGTGTTTATACAGCACTTGGCACTGTGGAGTTCTGATCTTGCTGAGGTGCTAGTTTAGTACATGTAAATAAATGATGATCTCTCTCAAGTTTATTGGAAACCACCTTTTCCAAGAACTAACAGGTTCAGCAGTGGCATTTTGAATAGCTCACATTTGTACAGGCTGGACAATTAGCTAGGTAATTTGCACCTTGCCAGCCATCTGTGGAAACCTGATCTAAATGTGCAAACATCAGTGATATATCTTGTGCCCCTGTCAATTCAGCAGCACAGGATCAGGGAATAGTCTTGCTTCCTTGGCTTTCTCACCACATGCTTCACTTCTCTGCTATTGCCCAGATTGTCAAAGAGGGAAGCATGGATGCCAAGGTTGCCAAGAGTGGCAGCAAACCAATGCCATATGTGATGGCTTGTTTTATATTAGGAATTGCTATAGGAAATGTTAATACCAATTATAAGGAGAGATATTAAGAAGCCACCATGGTTTTGGTGAGAGAAGTGAAGATGATCTGGTGTTTAAAGAAGGTGAGCATGGCACCAGTCATGCTCTATGTACAGTTGGACCAAAGTTGACTCTGAAACCTTTGAAACACTAGAAATAGGGGAACAACCCATTCACTCCCAGAGTTGCATTCTTATGAGCAGATATTTGGCTGGGGTGATATGACCCTGGCACCTGTTCCTGCCCAGGGCAGAGGGTTGGACCTGATGATCTGTTTAGGTCCCTTCCGACCCTAAGCACTATGATATTGATGAATGCACGGTCACATGGGTGGCAAACCGGCTCCAGGGGCGCACCCAGAGGGTGGTGGTGGACGGGTTGATGTCGACCTGGGGGGGTGTGGGCAGCAGAGTCCCCCAGGGCTCGGTCCTTGGGTCGGTGCTGTTCAACATCTTCATCAGCGACCTGGACGAGGGTGTGGAGAGCACCCTGTTCAAGTGTGCTGATGACACCAAGCTGTGGGGTAAAGTGACTACACCGGCAGGCAGGGACCGCATCCAGGCAGACCTGGATAGGTTAGAGAAGTGGGCCGATCTGAACAGGATGCGGTTCAACGAGGACAAGTGCAGGGTGCTACACCTGGGGAGAGGGAACCAGCATTATGCTTATAGGTTAGGGGCTGACCCTCTCAGCAGCACAGAGGCAGAGAGGGATCTTGGAGTCAGGATTGACTCCAGGATGAATATGAGTCGCCAATGCGACGAAGCAATAGGCAGAGCCAACCGTGCCCTGTCATGCATCAACAGGGGCATCACTAACAGGTCCAGGAAGGTGATCCTCCCCTTCTGTGCGGTGCTGGTCAGGCCGCAGCTGGAGTGCTGTGTCCAGTTCTGGGCGCCGCACTTCAGGAGGGACGTGGAGAACCTGGAGAGGGT